TCGCACCGGCGATCACTCCCCGCCCTCCTACGGTATCCTGGGTTGTCACAATGAACAACACAAAACTATTGCGTTTAATATTTTTCTTCTTTCATATTGAAGAATGAATTAATTATAACGTAAACCATTATAATTAAGTTTAAAAAAATTATACTAATTTTATATGGCGAATCTTTCTATCCAAGTTATCTATTAGTGAATTGGACAATGTAATCACCATCACCAAGGAGTTGGGAAACCGAAAGCAAATTGACATGCAACCCCTCCACGTAAAACACATCGGACAAGTGGAGATGTGAAGACAAAGAGACCGATCCAGAACGAGTCGCGAAAGCATGACGACCATCTGGAAGAACAATGCTACAGGGAGTCACCGACATGGGATCTTGCAACAACTCGAGGCGACCCGTGAGATGATGCAAAGCCCCTGTGTCGAGGATCCAAGAGTCAAACGAAGACATACCCGATGAATTTGCATTAGCACCAATCTTCCCGGCATTGAGGAGAGACACCAAAGTTTTCCACTGATCGTCACTGAGGCCTGACGGAGGTTGATTGTCGGAAGAGACAGATGGTGACGGACCAAGGAGACTCGGAGTCGTGGCCTGAACAGAATTCACACGGACAGCTCCGCGACCACGTGCAGAAGGCTGTGAACCGCGACCATGACCAGTGCGGTTTCGGGGACGATCACCCCACCATTCCGGAAAGCCCAGAATCTAAAAACAACTATCTGCCGCATGTCCCGAACGATTGCAGTTGGTACAGACCACGGACTTGTCCTTGACCGGAGTAGAAACACGAGGTTTCGATGCAAAATTGACCGAGAATGCTGCAGCATCAGATATGTCAACCGAAACAGAATCCTTGGACGCCTCATCCTGAGTGACCACCATGTACGCCTTTTCAACCGACGGCAAAGGTTGACGAGAAAGCAAGTTAGAACGCACAATCCCGTATTTGTCATCGAGGCCGAGAAGAAATTCGTACAATCTGTCTTCTTGCCTCTGCTTCTCCCAGTCAGCACTTAAATTGCAATTACAGAGACCACAACGACAAACCTTCAAGGGACGAAGAGTAACAAGATCGTCCCACAGTTTGGTAAGACGACCGAAATACGATTCCACCGGCGAACCCTTCTGTCGACAGTTCGCGAGGTCGCTACGAAGACGAAGAAGGCGTGGAGCGGTTGTCATGCCAAAACGACGCTTAAGATAATCCAGGACACAATGAGAGAATTATTCGTCTCCCAATCCTCGTAATCAGCCGAATCCGGATCAGGAGGCACAATTTTTCCATCCACAAAACCAAAATTCTTCCTTGACTTCAAAGCATGACGGATATTGATCGACCACTCATCGTAGTTATGACCACGAAGGAGTGGTTGAGACAGAACGAGCCCTGGGTTGTCGCTTGGGCTGAGGTCGAATGGAGATATAGTTCGTCGAGGTAAGCTCGAAATCGTGTTGTGCGTTGTCGAAGACATGACGGGAACAACAGATTCGGTAGAAATCGAAGCAGATTCGGTGTCGAGAGGAGAAGACATCGAAAGAAAACAAACGAGAAGGAAGATTAGAAATTGTCGGGCTCTAATACCATGTCACAATGGCGATCAGTGAATGGGAAAGTCTGTGTATTGCTCTTGGCCGAAGCCTGTATATGTACATGACGATATAGCCGAAAAACCCTAGAGGAATAAGGAAAGCAATCTAAACAAACTTAGCTAACAAATATATCAACTCTATCAGATGAGATACGCAAATATCTACAGGATATTCTTGTCCAATATATATATATACACGTACGTATGTATTTACATTTTGCAAGTTGTAATCCCTTTATAGAATTAATAGCGAGTATATCATATCTGGGTTTTTTTTTTCAGTTTAAGAACAATGTAATTCATGGTAGATATATTTGCAAGTTTTAATCCCCTAATGAAATGAGCCACTCAAGTTATATTTAATAAATAATTATATTTAATATTATAATTCCTCATATAATGAATGCAACGATCCGAGGCCGCTACGGAATGATAGAGCTGTCCTCACACACCAACACGAGACCTTTTAGCGTGTTTTGTCCTCACTCGCACACATCCCGGAAAGTACTTCCCAGGAGGTCACCCATCCTAAGACTACTCCAAGGCCAACATGCTTAACTTTGGAGTTCTCTCGAGACGGACAACCGAAAAGGTAGATGCATCTTGTTGCTATGAGTAGCTCAATTAATTCATTTTAAGTTATCTTAGACTGCGTAGTCCCATACCTACACAGCCCTCGGATCCCTCTCATTCCGGTGCGTCCACTTCATCCATGTACCCCCTACCCAGAAACTCGCCAGGAGCCGCCCATTGTCAATGCCTCTCGCACCGGCGATCACTCCCCGCCCTCCTACGGTATCCTGGGTTGTCACAATGAACAACACAAAACTATTGCGTTTAATATTTTTCTTCTTTCATATTGAAGAATGAATTAATTATAACGTAAACCATTATAATTAAGTTTAAAAAAATTATACTAATTTTATATGGCGAATCTTTCTATCCAAGTTATCTAAAATTTTATTATATTTGATTCACCGTATATAATTTTATCTGAAATTTTATACTAATTTTATATGTCAAATTTTTTTTTATAATCCAAAAATTTACCAAATCTTCGGTGTAGAAAATGTTTATAAAAAAAATATTTAATTTGAAAATTTTGATAAATATTATTTGGAGATAATAATTATCTTGATAGAAAAATCGTTAGTAAGTAGACAAATGAAAAAGGTTCTCGAATGATCCAATAACATACAATTAGATGCATTTTCATCCTTTCCTCACCACAAAAAGTAAAAAAATTCTCATAATTGATTAAAATTATATTTTTTTCCCTTTCTCACTTTGAACTTGATTGAAATATTCATACGAGATTAGTTTCTTTTTATAGATTATTATTACTATTATTTTTATTGTTATTATTATTATTATTATATTTTCATGTTATTTTTAATTTGTAGCATATAACGAAATGAAAGATGAAAAAAAATCTAAAATCATAATGCTCGAATTAACATAAATATTTTGCAGCACACATGCTTTTGCAAACAAAATAAGATAAAATTCGTCATTTTACTCTACAAGGGTTGTATTACGGAGATATTTGTGTAATATGGAGCTCTAATTCAATAATAATAATAATGATGATGATTATAATAATAATAATAATAATAATAATAATAATAAAAGTTAAAAATAGTGGACAAATGAAGCCCATTTCTGTAAAACTACATACAAATGACAAATTGTGGCAAGGGGAAACAAACCGACCTTGGTTAAACCGGAATTTCCGTTAAAATCATTGACAAACCGGCATTGATAAATTCGGTTATTAAAAAGGGTACAAATACAGTGTCAAACCCAACCGGCATGACATCCGAACCAATATATTCATAGAGATTCCAGATGTATAATTTTTTTGTTTTTGATAATCCGAAAATTCACCGAACTTTGATCCGAAATCTTTCATTAACTTCGTTACGTCGATAACAAATGCATAATTTGTCAAGGCGGGGATGGTCCGAGCGGTCCAAAATCTCGGAATGGCCAAACCTGCATATCAAGTTTACAGAGTATTAGGCAAAATGCTGTCGTCGAACCGATTTTACTGATAAAACCTGACGGCGCACAGAATCGGGAGAAGTTTCCGGTTTATCCTTAAACAATCAACTGAAATCAAAAAATCGAAAGAGCTCGGACAATTTTCGATGAACAAGCTTCAACTAGTAAGGCTTTTGCTTTGAATCGATTTCGGATGACAAGAACATCATAAAAAGGAATCCAAACCAAGAACTGTGAGAATAAGCAAATACCCGCAAAAGAACTCGGCCTTGAATAAGGGCGTAAGGGACGGGGCCAAACGTTCTCGAGTCCTTCGAGTTACAAGTATAGTCACCTTGGACCCATACATGCCCTTTAGGTACCTGAAACATGAGCAAGAACCTCAACGATTCACATCTCCATAAAAGATTCAAATCACTACAAAGAACCGAAAATGAAAATCCAAAAAGAAAAGATCGAGAAAGAATGAGAATTCGTGCATTTAGCTGCTGAATCCGAAGACCAAAACCCCAACAGAACAGAGTTACAGAACACAATCCAATAATGAAGCTACAGATTCTAAAGATCTAATCTGTCCAAACTAGTTTGTCATGTGATCTACATGATTGGAAACAGAGCTCATATGCATCTGTTCACTAAACCCATCAGCAACAACACTGAGAAATTGAAGTGTTTCCCCATTGAATCTGCTCAAACCCGCAGATTCAAGATCACTACAAAGAACCGAAAATGAAAAGCCGGAAAGAAAAGATCGAGAAAGAATGTGAATTCGTGCATTTAGCTGTTGAATCCGAAGACCAATACCCCAAAGGGGTAACAGAACATAATCCCACAAATAAAGCTCCAGACTTCAAAGATCTAATCTGTCCAAACTAGTTTGTCATATGCATCTGTTCACTACATCTATCAGCAACAACACTGAGAGATTGAAATCTTTCCCCATTGCATCTGCCCAAACCCAGAATCAAGATCACTACGAAGAACCGAAAACAAAATCGAAAAGAAAAACAAAGATACAGACTTTAAGGATCTAATCTGTCCAAACTAGTTTGACAAAATGATAAAAAAACCATCAGCAGTGACATCTAATAAGGTAAGATATAAACACAGAGAAAATTGAAATGTTCCCCCCATTGCATCTCTGCTCAAACCCAGTATCAAGATCAACCAGAAAAGATTGAACATACCACAATGGATTGAGACTTATCGTTCTTTCCAGGATCAATCACATAAGTTATAAGATCACCTTCAACACCAATCACCCTCTTTGTCGGAGCAACTCTAGGGTTTTCTGGTGACCGTACGACAACGATGTCTCCACGACCCACCTTCCGGAACCGAGCGGAGATTCTCTCAGCCAATACGACATTGCCGGAAGGGTGAAGTGTCGGGATCATGCTCGGACCGTAAGACTGCCGGAAAACAAAAACAGGAGTAAACCCAGAAGAAGAACACGATTCAGACCCAGATTAGAAATCGATCCGCAAAAGAGATTCGGATGTTTTAATCGATGAAAGGGCGAGATTTTCGGACTCACAAAAGCGACGAAGCCGAGATAGTTGACGGTGACATTAAGGAAGCAGCAGAGCTTGGTAAGAAAAACTCCGCCTTTCATGGCTTCCCGAGAAGCTATGCCCCAAAAAGATGAACCCATTGCAGCTTCGGAGAAAAAAACCCGATTCTATCTCAGAATTCGGACGAAAGCGGCGAGAATTTCAGGTTCCAGATGAGATTAGAGATAAATATCACTAATTGAATTCAGATATAAATACTAAATGATTATAATTTATCTAAAATAAAAAAAAATCCGAATCCAAATTGAATGAAATAAACAAAAAACATTTTTTTCTGAAAAATATTTTTGTTAATAGAAACAAAATACAAACCAAATCAAATCACAAAATAAAAACTGAAAATTTATTTTAAATAAATATTTCTATCGAAAAAAAACTAATCCGAGTTCAATAAAAAAACTAAATAATTATATTTTTTTAAAGAAAAATCTCCGAAAATTCTCAAATTTGCAATAGAGATGGACACCGGTCCGATACCCAGAATTTTAGAGTTACCGGATCCGAACCCGAATCCAAACCCGATTTTTTTAAAAAAAATTATCCAAACTCGGATCCGACTTAAATTTTATCAACAACATCCGGTATCAGAATGAATAAACCTCTCCACCCTCAGGAATCGAACCCTGGCGTGAAGGCACATTGGTCCACGCCTCAACCACTCGCCAACACTTGTTAGGTTGGTTGGGTAGCAGAATGATAATTGTTATAATGTCATTGGTAAGGCCAACTAACCTTCACATCATAAGAGAAATTTGTGAGATGAAAGCTCGCCCAATTGAAATGAATCGAAGGACATATGATAAACCAGAAGAAATGAGCTGGAAAAAGGACAAGACAGATCTGGATTAGATGTAACAAGTATTCGCAACTGCTGAATCCTAGTCGGAAATATGAACAAAATTTTGAAAACGTCAGTACCGTGTCGCAGATTCGCCAAAAATAGTTGCAATACAGATTCGAGGTGAACGCCCCAACCCAAAACAACGCTGAAACCAAAGCAAAAACCCCAATCGAGTTGCGAGATTAAATCTCTCTTGAACTCAAGAAACCAAGTAGCAAAATGGAAGGATAGGAGATTATGGGTACAACCTTTAACCAAAAAAAAAAAAAGAAAGATAGGAGATTATGGAAGAAGAAAGAAATCGATTACGGCGTGCGAACAAGAGCCAAATAGGAAGGAAAAAACTTGGGGTTTTTTAAGTATTAAGGGGTATAATCGTAATTTAACCAATATCGGTTACTCGATAAAAAAATTTTACCCGAATCCGAATCCGAATCCGAATTTCGGGTATTTTTAAAATTATTATCCGATTTTGTCTCATCGAATGGTTGGTACCCTAATTTCGGATATTCGTCTCACGGGTCGGGTCGGGTCGGGTACCCGAATTTCGGGTTTTTTTTGCCCAGTCCTAACTTGCACTATGGTGGAAAATTAATTCTTGAACTCACAAATATGTCCATTTATTATCGAACTTAAAAAATTGAACACGTTAATTTCTAAACTTATTTTAAACTGTTATAATCGTCTTTACCATAAATTTGACAAAAATAATGTGTTAAACAATCATACCTATGAACTATCAAGATATGTCAGATTTTAATGTCATGTATACAGAACCAGGTTTTATAGACACGTTTTAATAAAACCGGTTTATAATGATAAAAATTTTGATTCAGTAAAAGTAAAATTATGAGGGTATTTTCGGATTCATCAAAGGCGTTTTCGGTCGCCGCGTCTCTTCCTTGAACGACGCCGTTCTCACAGAAAAATCTGGGATGAAAGAGATTTAGCCCCGATGACGGTTATTTCGACGCCAAACACTCTTGTTTTGGTAAAGACGCCGATGATATGGATCTAGAGCTCGAGAACCGGCAATGATCGTAATTATTCCAATCTTTGTCGTTATTCCAAAACTTTTGGTGAACCGAAATTTTTACTATTACGAATTGGTTTTGTTAAACCGTGTCTATTAAACCCAACTCTACATACATGGCATAAAAATTTGACGTGTCTTGATAATTTATGAGTCACGTAGGATTGTTCAATATATTATTTTGATCAAAATTAATTTTAGAATGATATGACATTTTTAAACAAATTTAAGAATTATTATTTTCAATTTTTCAAAGTTCGAAAATAAATAAAAACATCTATAAATTCATGAATTAGTTTTCCACTGTTTTAAAAAATTTTAAATATTTTTTTTTTTTAAATTTAAATAACTGATTCTAAATATAATCAAACTAAATTTAAACTGAAAACCGAAAAAAAAAAGATTTATAGAACCCACAGTGGATCTTACTTAACAGATTTTCGACTATAAATGATTAGAGTTTTTAATTTTCAAAAATAAAAAAAAATAACCAATCAAATTTTTATAAAGTTAATTTTTCTAAAAATTTGATAAATCACCTTTTATTAAAAAAATCAAATAAAAACAAAAAACTTTCATTTTTTTTTTTGAATTTATAAAACCAAAAATCAAAATCTAAAAATTAAAAACTAAAACCAAAAATTAAAAATAAAAACTACCAAAAACCTTCAATTTTTTTTTTCATATTTGTTTAAGAAAATATTATTGTACTGATAAATATATGTAGGAAATATAATTGTATCGAAGATTATTTCAGGCTTTCAACACACAATCTACACTCATAACTTGGCAATAAATGGTAAAAAAAAAAAAGGACCATAAAAATCACAACTTCATCACAAAGACAACAGTAAAAAAGTTAAACGATACATATAAAAAAAGTCTGTAAACCAATCCGCAGGTAAATGTTTGAGCATCTGAATACATTGCTTCAGTTCACTTACTATAAAAGCTCAGCTTCATCATCAAAGCCATATCAGTAAGGCAATACAGAGATCAACATACTGTATATACCATCCTACAGATGAAGATATATATGTGTATATATAGAGAGAGAGCCGAACCAATTACCTTACCAGTAGATTTTCGTGGACGAAAACTGCAAGCAAGCGGTTTAAGCTTCGTCCGGGAAATTCCCGACACCGAGCTTCTGCGCCTCGACTTTGAGTGACTTGAGGTATTGAACAGCTTCGTCGAGAATACAAACAGTATTCATCTGTTCTCCTCCGGGAACTATTCTTCTCAGCACCTTCATCATCTTCTTCATCTTTCTTCGTTTTCTCTCACCATTCTGCTGCTTCCTCGGAATATTCGAACAATCATAGCTGGAGAAAGAAGATTCCGGAGAGAGATTCCCGTGATTCTCAGAATTCCGTGCTGTGCTGACTTCTTCTGCATCATATTCCTTGCTATCTTCTTCTTCATCGTCGTAGTCATTACAGCTCAGAAGGGCATCAATCTCAGCTGAATCCTCTTTGAAAGAGGATGAAGCTTCTTGGTCATAGTTATTATAACATTCCCGGGCATGCTCGTTTTGATATGAATTCGCAAAAGCGTTCAAGGCAGGGGAACTGAGCTTCCGGGTCATCTCGGGATGGTACATCACATGGCTTCTGTCATAGGTTTGATCGAAAATGATAAAGTTTTTTGGACATACCGGGGAAGGTTGAAGTTCAACGCCATTGAACGGCTTAAGCTTCACACATGGAGGAAAGACCGCATCAAAGGCTGTTGAAGCATATGGAATGTGCATATCACTATCACCCATTTCATCTGGGAAGTGAGTTTCTCTTGCCATTCGGCGAAAATGCAGATTTTTCTGCATCAGAAAATCGAACACAGAAAAAAAGGAAAACACGGAAAAAAGAAGCCTTTCACCTCAAATTTTCTACTCTACCAATTGTCCTTTCAAGCTACCAGCCGTTTAGTTTCTACTCCACGAACAGCTCGGGTAATTCAAGTTATTGCCGTCATTCTGAAGGTATTGCGAATGCCCACCAGAGCTCTGTCTATTCCAAACCAGAATCTTTCAACAGAATATCACGAGCTTTTTAACATCTGACAATAACTCTTTCTGATATGTTGATAGCCTTCCAAAACCCGAAATTTGTGAATATCTCTAACACCTGACTACGTAACAGGCTTAAGCAATTGTCGGAAATACTCAGCCTGCAAAGAGAAAGAAATGAACGAAAGCGTTAGGATACCAGACCAATAGCATTTACTACTGTAACAGACCGAAGATTGTGTAATCAACATATGTGCAATAGATTTCTACTACGTAACTTCAACATCAACATCACTTTGGTCCCAAGTTTATTTGGGGTCGGCCGTGTGGATTCTTCGTTTCCACTCATTTTAGTTTTGCGTTAGCATTTCTAAAACGTAACTAACTAGATAAAATGAATGTTAGCAACTGTAATGCGAAGGAGTTGCAGTTCATTCTCAAGGGCTCAGATCCAAAAGCTGTTATTTGTTGTGCAAAACTATGTAAATGTTCAATCCCCGAACCCGAACTCATCATCGATACAATAGTTAAAAGGGTAATTCTAAAACGTGTTCATTTCCTAGACAAACTCATAATATCTTAATTGTAGTTACCGAGTTGGTTATTGTTCTGGCATTGACACATTTACAAAGTATACAGGAAACATATCCATTGGAAAGCTTGTCAGGCCATCAAAGTGTTTGGAAAGGCTAGGAAAAAACATAAACTCAGAACTGCTAGTAAATGTAAGAAGAGGCATTTACCTGACAAACTTCCACCGATTGGTAATTAGCGACGAAACATATAGTCATTATAATTCTTCCTACTTCCTTCACAGCTCGTTGTTCCTTTCCGTTTCTGACAATGCACATTCTCAGACCAGACACGAGAACTTCTGATAACTCCTAGAAAAAAAACAAGAGGAAGATTCGATTACACACGCAAACCCAGCACGAAACAAGAAAGATATGCACGAATAGTATCGCTGTGTAACGAAAATTCCCGTACGAAAGAGAAGGGCAACAAATTTAGTCTCTATTTTCTTTTCCTTTAGGCTCTAAATTCAATCAGTCATAACAAAGATTGCCAGTTTCAAACAGGCCATAAGCGCTCAAAACCACAGGCAAACCAGACGGAACAGGAGTATGAAAGATCCGAGATTAATGATTCAAGCCCGATGCACAAGACAAGACGGAGAAGGAAACAGGAAAGAAGCTCCTCACCAGAAAAATATCAAGTTACAGAATCACAAGGAAGAAGACGACCAAACGAGGGCAAGTCCTGTTGAAAAACATGAAGAAGGACATCCAGGGCATCTCGATTCTTCCGCTAAGGTTGCAGCTTTATGTCTTGTGACTCTTGTCTCCGGCCTCTTCCCCTTCAAACAAACTGCAGAACAAAAAAAGAGACAAATGGCTATGACAAAGATCGAAAAACACATCTTTCTCCAGACAAGGATATTATTGAGCATCAAAAACAACAAGAAGATAGTAAAATAATCTTTCCAAACATTAAAAGACTGTCTCCATAAGCTAAAATTACAACGGAAATCAAAGGATCAAAGCCATAAACATCAACTAAAAGCATGAAACAAAACAGTAAAAGAACAGAGCCCTTTTCAACTCCCAACAAAAACAAATGCACTAAACAAGAACTCTACAAAAAAATCCCGACCCAAAATTGTATCAAAACATTGGAATGTGCAGGAAATGAAATGGGTTTTCTACGGAAACAAACACTTTTTCTCAGAACAAGAAACCGAAGGGCGGCATGATCAAACTCGAACCATAATAAAGTTTCTGGGAAATCCTCGACAAACAAGAAAGGAACCCGACAAACAAATTGCTTCAGAGGAAGATACAAACTATCAGAGAAGAACACAGCAATCGTGTCAGAAACAGACCATAACATAGCTAATCACTGGATCAAACAATAAAAACCCTAATTCAAAAAGTTATATGAGATGAAACAACATCATCCATGAATCCAACACCTTTGGGCTACGAAAAAGAAAACAGAATCCTCTCCGGAAAAGAATGAGACTGAAGCAACGGTTGTCTGATCAAAATTCAGGACTCTGAAGCCGAAGATCTAGAGAGAGATAAGGCTCTGAACGATGAGAGAGAGAGAGAATAAGTGAATTCCTTTTCGTTCCTTTTTTTTTGTGTTCCTCTGGTGCGTTTTGTTTTGTTTGTTTTTGCACGTTTGTCCATTTTTCACATTTTATGACGTCATTCTAAGAAAAAAATATTTTTATTTTCTTATATTACTTTAAGCTTTTCGTTTGGGCTTTTTACAAAATGTGTAAAAATATAACTTTAAATTTGCTAATTACTCCAAAAATATCAGACCGATTTGAAAAGAAATTAATCATGATCTTTATATAAAATCCTACTTTTTTCGGTTCGGTATTCAAACGGATTCGAAAACAGTATTTTCGATTTTATAAAAGTTGTATCGAAATAAAACTGAAAGTTAAACGATTCGGTTCGATTTTAATATTGATTCCCTTAATAACGATAATATTTACATATATTAATAAATAATTCAGATTTTGGTTCAATATTTATCGGATTTGATTCAATATTTGCCCAGTTCGGTTTAAGAACGGTTTATTCGATTCTATAAAAAAAATATACCAAATTAAAACTAAATATTATTTGATTCGCTTTGATCCGTTTCAATTTTGGTTCAAATCGGATCAGATCGAAACTAAATTCTCGAACCGTAAGTTTGGTTTAAGAATGATTTATTCAATATTTATACAGTTCGGTTTAAGAACGGTTTATTCGATTCTATAAAAAAATATATACCAAATTAAAGCTAAATATTATTCGATTCGCTTTGATCCGTTTCAATTTTGGTTCAGATCGGATCAAATCGAAACTAAATTCTCGAACCGTAAGTTTGGTTTAAGAACGGTTTATTCAATATTTGTACAGTTCGGTTTAAGAACGGTTTATTCGATTCTATAAAAAAAAAATATACCAAATTAAAACTAAATATTATTCGATTCGCTTTGATCCGTTTCAATTTTGGTTCAGATCGGATCAAATCGAAACTAAATTCTCGAACCGTAAGTGACCATCACCATAAAAAACATATTGTATTTACAAGAACAATAAATACTGAAATGACACTTAATGCAAAATTCAGAGGAATAAATATGCGGATAGATATTTATACTAAAGCTGACTGTAAAATATGAAATAAATTAGTATGTCGGAATTATATTTTTTCTTATCAGAAATAAAAAATAATAATTGTTTTGTGGCCACCTGAGCTTATTTATTAATAAATTACAATCAGAAGGTAAAAAAATATATAATAAATTAAATAAAACAATAAATGAAAGGAGCACGCGTGACAGAGGAGTCAAACACGGGAAAAGTGGGCCGTTGGATCGAAGAGATAAGATGGCTTCCGTTGAATGTGGGATTGATAGTGACCGTTGGATGAATGTAGGCACGCGTGAAAACATTGTGGGCCCCAGCCATGTTTTTTCTTTTCTTTTTTTTTTCCCATTTTCTTTATTATTTGACAATTTAATGCTAACCACATAGACACTCATAGATTCACACCATATAATATTAATTTCGAATTTTATACGAAATATTTTACTGACAAATGGTTTATTTAAATTATTTTTGAGTATTTTGTGGTTTTTTCATTGAATTCAAATAATTTGTACGCATCTTTTCCATTCGAGATTACACCCAAAAAAAAATATTTGCTCCATATCTATATATTGATCAAATTTTAGTTATTGCCTTCAAAATATCTAACAAAATAACCTATGATATTTATCTAACCGGGTTCCGTAAATTAATTATATATTTAAATTTTGTAAAATGTGCCCTCAAAAAGCAATAGGCAAAATACAAAATATCGGCACGTATATGATAATATAGAACAAATATAAGCACGACCACATTCACCAGACAAACTCCACGAACAATATCCTCCAATACAATGAAACGCAAACGCAGACGTAACCGCCGTCGCAAACGCCGAATCCGCGTTATATATTTCATTTTAATTAGCAATGTCGGGAAAAAGTTGGTGGCATGGGCCCAAGCGTTTTGTTGATTGGGCTTTAATGGGCTTCAGGGGATTTATAAATTGACATTGTGAATTAATAAAAAGAAAAAAAATCCAAACCGTACGTATACACACAAAGTTTTGTATATGTGGAAAATACAAGTTATACACTTGTAACATGAATATATTTCCATATATCTAATCTCATCATATTAAAACTAGAAAATATAAAATTTGATGGATTAATCATAACATGTTTATAGAACGATATCGCCGAAGAGTGGTATTTTTATTTTCTTAATTTGTTGTTTCTACATGCTAAAATCCACGTCATCTTTGTTTTTTTTTTCAAAGGTAAGTCCATGTCGAAGAAAATAAATTTACATGAACATAATGAAGGTGCGTATTTTTGAATTTTTAATTGCACTTAAAATAAATTTGTGTATTTGAATATCATTCTCTAGTGAATAGTGATTTATTTCGAGATTTATTTTTATAATAATATGAAAATATCAGAGTCAAGAAAAATAATCTTGTCATGGGAATATCAGTGTCTCGGTTTCCATTGGTCAGTGACATTTCCTCGGGTTGATTTTTGTCTGCTTAGCTGGCAACATGGGTCCCACTTGGATGTTATCCTGTCTTAAGTTGATTGTATCATCCATTGAACGAACGACGCGTGGCACATCAGATATCTCTATCCGCTGGAAATCCCAGAGTGCAGCCCATTTGGGCGTATTTGATATTTTAAGAGATATAGTTGAATTAAATAATCAATTTATTATAAAAAAATTAATAAATAAAACAGTCGAGTAATGGTGTGCAGAGAATCTACAAAAGTTGGTGGACGAGAGACAGCCACGTAGGACAGCTAAACGACAAAACCAAAATCTCGAAACCCAATCAGCAAATAGACATAGATACTTCACAGATAACAAGCCTTACTCTCAAACCCAATATATATAAATTATAATCACCACGCATTTCCAACACCATCAATCTCCCTCTCTCAAAAACCAAAAAAAGAAAAAAAAAAGAAACAATGGCGGCGGCTGCATCAACCATGGCTCTCTCGTCTCCATCCTTCGCCGGCAAGGCCGTGAAGCTCTCTCCGGCAGCCTCTGAGATTCTCGGAACTGCCCGAGTCACAATGCGCAAGGCCGCCAAGCCCTCCGGTCCATCCGGAAGCCCCTGGTACGGACCAGACAGAGTCAAGTACTTGGGCCCATTCTCCGGCGAGCCGCCGAGCTACCTCACCGGAGAATTCCCCGGAGATTACGGATGGGACACCGCCGGTCTCTCAGCCGACCCCGAGACCTTCGCCAGGAACCGCGAGCTGGAAGTGATCCACTGCAGGTGGGCCATGCTGGGCGCACTCGGCTGCGTCTTTCCCGAGCTGCTGGCTCGTAACGGCGTCAAGTTCGGAGAAGCCGTCTGGTTCAAGGCCGGTTCACAGATTTTCAGCGAAGGAGGGCTGGATTACCTGGGAAACCCTAGCTTGGTCCACGCGCAGAGCATATTGGCCATATGGGCAACTCAGGTGATATTGATGGGGGCAGTGGAAGGTTACAGAGTGGCGGGGAACGGACCGTTGGGAGAGGCGGAGGATCTGCTCTACCCGGGCGGGAGCTTCGACCCGTTGGGACTGGCGAGTGACCCGGACGCGTTCGCGGAGTTGAAGGTGAAGGAGATCAAGAACGGGCGGCTGGCTATGTTCTCGATGTTCGGGTTCTTCGTCCAGGCCATCGTCACCGGGAAAGGACCGCTGGAGAATCTGGCCGACCACTTGGCGGATCCTGTTAACAACAATGCTTGGGCCTACGCCACCAACTTCGTTCCCGGCAAGTGAGAGAGGATGAATTTGGTCTTGTGGCTGTTCTGTAAGAGAAAACATGAGAAAAGAGTGAGTGATATATCTTGTTTGTGATGGTTCAGAAATTTGAAGGAAAAAAAATTCCCTTTTAATTGATCATATGATTGATGATAATGTGACAATCTACAACTCTTAAAAAGTTTAAAAAAAAAGAACTATATATATAGAACTTGAGCCAAATACAACAGATAAGAATCTGGATCAAGAAAAGAGAGGCGGAGGATCTGCTCTACCCGGGCGGGAGCTTCGACCCGTTGGGACTGGCGAGTGACCCGGACGCGTTCGCGGAGTTGAAGGTGAAGGAGATCAAGAACGGGCGGCTGGCTATGTTCTCGATGTTCGGGTTCTTCGTCCAGGCCATCGTCACCGGGAAAGGACCGCTGGAGAATCTGGCCGACCACTTGGCGGATCCTGTTAACAACAATGCTTGGGCCTACGCCACCAACTTCGTTCCCGGCAAGTGAGAGAGGATGAATTTGGTCTTGTGGCTGTTCTGTAAGAGAAAACATGAGAAAAGAGTGAGTGATATATCTTGTTTGTGATGGTTCAGAAATTTGAAGGAAAAAAAATTCCCTTTTAATTGATCATATGATTGATGATAATGTGACAATCTACAACTCTTAAAAAGTTTAAAAAAAAAGAACTATATATATAGAACTTGAGCCAAATACAACAGATAAGAAAATGAAAGCAAGCTTCAAAGGATCTGTCCTAAATGCTGTAAGTTCCTGTCCGAATGCCAGCATCCTCAGCCGATATTTCGACGAACACTCCGACTCGATATCGTCGGAAGATTCTTCACTTTTGCAAGCTTCGAAAATCACCAACTTATTTTCAATAGGAACGTGTGAGTTTTTTTTTTCCGGTTTCCTGTGCAGATTTAAGGTAATGAATGATTTCCAGAGTTTGTAGCTTCCTCCCTGCCAAGATTAAGACATGCATTGACTAGATATAACGTCTTGTAAGCGAACAATCATAATATCGGGGAAAAAAAATATATCGATTTCGGAGCAAAAGGGTTCGCTCACGAGTCAATGCGGGATCTGGGAAAGAATGAGAGCGATGAAGTATAAACAGAACGAGATTGCAGCGCCTGCAAGGACGTTGTGGAGAAGCCGCTTGTTGTCTTTCGTCGGTATGAAGACCGTCTTTAATGTATTGGTGAGCTCAAAGAGCCGGTGAGACACCTGAAGAAGAGAAAACAACAAAAATTAAAAGAAAAAAAAACAACGGTTAGGAAACCAAAAAGGAATTTTCCGGTTGGGGAAAGGCGAAATGCAGTGGAAATCTTTACCAAGACGTAGATGGCGGTCGTGAGCATGAAGTTGAGCAGAGGGTATTCCGGGATAATGGACAGTAGCCACTTAGGTTGCCCGTCAGGAACGTTCGATCTGAAACGCATTATTTATAACTTCATACGTAATTCCCGTGGAACTTTATTTATTTATTTATGGAGGGAGAAAGGAGAGCGAAAACTAACCTTAACCAGATGTGAAACTGAGAAATATAGGTCTCCAGAGTAATCTTGCCGAGCCACCTGAGAAGAAAACAAAAAAAGTCGTGTCTTGACAAAGCAATTTAAAATTTTCAAACCGAAAGGAGAGAGGGAAGATAGAAATCACATACGCAAAGAGCGTCAGTGAAAAGCTACGAAGCTGCTGTGTGCAATTCCGAAGACAAATGTATACACTGCAACCCAAGTTGAACGCAAAAATCATATGAAAATATTAAAAGGATTGAGTATTTTGGATAATTGACAATGGAAAAAGAGATGATAGCACTAACGTGATCGGAATCCATGATGTGTAGGGATGATATTTATTGTATGTAACCTTGTCCAGCTTGTAGATGTATTCATACCAAAGGTAACCGACCTGAACACGAGGAAACACAACCCCCGAGATCAGAATAATCAACGAGAAGAAGACATGGTTGAACCGGAACCATAGGCGAAGCCAAGCTTACAAACGAGGCAATCACGACAATGCTGGTCTTGATTGACATCTTTCTCTTGGCATCACATTCCTCTAGTTTCTCCATCCATCTCTCGACCTGAGATCAAAATGTAAATAGATTTAGTTGTGCCTGTCACAATATGATGATACGAAAAAAGTAGGCATCACGGTTCGTGAAATACGGTGGGATGGAAGTACGCATATATCATCCCGACGATCCATATGTATCGATCAAGTCCTGATCTGAAATGCCATTCATGTAGACGCGGAAGATCTGGCTTAGCAGGATCCGTGTACCCTGCAGTTGAAGAGGCAGGAATTCAATGACCAAACCCCATGAAAACTTTTTTCATGATTCCAAAAGAAAAAGGTTTAAAATTCAGTAATCTCTGTGAAAGAGAATTCTACAAGGAAGGACGATGGCGGAGGTTCGGAATTATAAGAGAAGAAAATGTCAAAAAAGTTGGCATCATCCGATGTCTGAAGATTAAACAACCATGCAAAACAAACGGAAAGTAGAATAGCGATCGAGAAAAGTTTGATACTTACCCAGAAATAATGTCAATGGACCCCAAAAAATCTCGAAAACTCCGGGGATTTCCCATATCAAGATAACCACAAGGAAGCATGAAGCAATCTTCACAGCCATCACTGATCCTATTTCGTTATACTGACTGAAGATACCGAGGGCTCCATACACCATTAGAGTGAATAGAGTGTGCATCGGACAGATATAGTAGAGCATATAGTCATTGTTGAGAACAATGCAACAAAATGCCACGAAAAAGTTAAGCCGCCACATCATCTGGATCAAGAAAAAGTTTCCATGAAGTCATGAACATCTTGAACCACTGAAAGGAACATAAACGTTATTAAGGTCTGGAACCGATGATGAGACCTGACCTGAGTAAATCGTGCAAGGGAGAAATCCTTTCGGATATAGTAATAAGAGAAATTGCCAAATCCGGTCATCCACACATAGGCAGCGATGAAGATCCTGATTGCATTATAAATCTCAGCCGCAGCAAAGTAGTGATACATCAGAAACAGAACCTGAAAAGGCACAGAGCCACAAATTGGCATGAAAATCAATTACAAAAACATGTAACAGAAAACAGAACATACAATAAATCGGAGAAACAGGAATAAGATGGATGGAAGTAATATTGAGAAGCTCACGTAGATGCAAGGGAGAAGAGGAAAGGAAACGAAAAGGTAAAGGATAAGTACGAGTAACAAAAGTTGAACCATCACCTGCATCCACCCTTTCCACTCTTCAGTCTGGTGACGATTAAGATACAGAATGGATTTTCCCGTTATAGGCGACTTATCAGTGTGTTTCTTCAAGGACGTCATGGCTGACACAATGATGAGAAGAAGGTAGAGAAAGAGGAAAAGGTCCCGGTTGTAACTCTGTCCAAGAAAGCGCACACAAAAAAAAAAGAGATATATGGTCAATAGAAAAACCATTTTCAAGTATGGGCATTAGGTCCCTACATAAGAAGATTTAAGCCATCCTGCAAACTATCTTTTACAAAAGATCAATCGAAATTGGAAAAAATAAAAGAAGAAACATTTGGCACTGTCTTTAAAATTTCACACAGAACGCCATATTCAAACTAGAATCAAGATCAAGGAATTAGCATGAGATTTGAAAAGAAAACAAAAGGCTTCAGGACGAAAACATAAAATAAGTTATTAAACTATGAGGGCTCGAGAGACAAAATGGAAATGAAAGAAAAGAACCCGGGGGTAGAGGGTAAGAGAGTCACCTTTTTAGAGTTGCCAAGCAAACTTGTTCGGTCACAAATATAAAAATACAAAAGAATTGCTCCAAACTCAGCCCTGAAAGAGAAGTAAATCGTCATGCAAGGGCATGGAGAACAATGTGAATCTACTACTGCATTCAATTGAGTTGCTTACATTGCTCTCAGGGTTGCTCGATTTTCAAGCAAGAAAGAGTCTTCCAGAGTCAGAAACCTACAAGTAGAGACGATACAAATGATTAATAAGAGTCCGAGACATGAAACCACCTTACCGGAAAACAATATTTGCTACAACAACCTAATCAAGTTCGTTTTAATGGATGAACTAGATAACTTTGAAGAGGCTGATCTTGCAAGGCCTCCTTCCAGTAAAACAGCTCCTTCATTTTCCTTGTTGGTCACTTCTCCTAGTTCAACCAAATTATTATCTGAATGACTGCAAAAGGACCGAATATAAGTAACTGTAAGCAGTGAAATGAAAAGGCTAGATTTGAAAGTACACCAGTAGATACATATACTGCGTTAAATCATCATATTCATATAAGATTAAAAGACATACACTTTAGGGTGTAACACAGATTTCTTGTGCTCCAGATATTCTGAGTATATCCATGCTATCAGGACAGGGATAACTCCAAGCAGAAACGAAATCTGCAACCAAAAGAAAAAAACAAAAAAAGGAAATGGATAAAGAAAAAGCTAATGGATTGACAATACTGCAATGGCAAACCAAGCAACATACAATAATGACAATCCTTCAGGCCAATTAAAATTGACAGCTTTTTCATGGGCGACCAAACCAAAAACTCCAAGTGCTCACCGTCTGCGGCTGCAAGATCGATCAAAATCTTCGAAACTAACAACAAAAAGAATGTTGCTTCAAGTGGAAGACAAACAAACATGATGAACTTTAAGTGTACTGGTACCTGAAGAAAGCAAGCTTTCTAATTAGGCAAGACCATCCTCCTAAGTACACGAAGACCAGATGACTCGACCGTAGTACATTTCCAGCAAAACGACAGACGGGATATTCTAATTTCACACGCACCAAAATGCGAAATTCAATCCAAATCCAGCAAAAAAAGGTCCAATACGAATCAAAACTGTAGCGTAAATCAATGGTACAACAAAAAAAGTCACCAAGAGTGTAAATTATACAATGCCATAAATCCTGACCGACAACGAGCAATCGAATTCATCGAAATCGTTACTACATCCTCTGAACCCGAACGATGCGGTATAAATCAGATTCAACCACAAATTAGCGAGATCTCAAAATCCATACCAGAGTTCGCCGAAATGAAGGGAAACAAGGCTAAACAGCAGAATTAATCACGAAACAGTACCTGGCCAGGCGTAATTGGCCCCGAAACCACAATTTCTACTGGATCCATACAGGAATCTCCAGGGCTTCAAGGATCAAATACTCCGAAAACACACAATGTTACGAAGCGAACCGAACAGTTCGCCTTCTCCACAGGTGGGATCTACGGTATCGAGCTCTAGGAAACGGCCTGAAGTAGAGGAAGAGAAACCCTAGAAATCGAGAAAAACATTAAGAGAGAGAGAGAGAAGAAGCTATTGCTTCAAGGATGGAGAAAATGGCGGATGCGACGTCGTTCTCTTCAGGGCTCCTCCGAACGGTTGTTGGGTTAAGCGATAGGCACTTTTGCTCTTCTTCTGTATTTTTTTTTTTCACCTTGTTTTTTTTTTTAATCGTACGTTTTTTTCTGTTTCCTTTTTCTTTTCTTTAAAAATTCATTATTACTATTTGGTTGTATTCATTTTTTTTTTTTATAATATATGATTTGTCAAGTGGGGGTTTGAATCTGGGTGGAGCACTACTTACCCACTTATCAGTTGAACCAATCACTCTTGACAAAGTTGTATTCATATTTAGTAATATATATATATATATATATATGTATTTTAATAATTATGTTATGTAATCTACAATTAAGTGGATGCATTAAAAAGAAATAATATTGCGTAATTGATGTCCAAAAGCTTATACGCAATCGAAACATTATTTTATTTTTTTTCTTTCTTATTCGAATTCCTCTTTGGTACGATACAAACTGTTGGTCCAAATATTTGACATTTCAAAGAAATTTCTAGAAGAAATCATATGAACTAATTCCTTACCACAACTACATAACAATTTCTCTTAGTCAATAGAAGTAAGATTAGGAAATTATAGTTAGATTAGACAATGTAAACCGTATTTTCTCTCTCTAGATTTTAATTGTAATATATGATATTTTTAAGAGTTCCATTTGATTTTAGGTAAAGATGTCAATTTAGGTTCGAGTTCTGAAACCCGAACCGGTCCAGTTCGAAAATTAGAGGGATTCAGATCTAAATTTTTCGATCTGAAAAAAATCGGATTTTCTGATCGGTTCAAAAACCCGATATTTTTTAAAAAATAAAAAAATAACATTTACAAAGACAATTATACGGGTCGACCTGGACCGGTCCGATCCGACCCGATCTAAATCCGGAATATTTAGGATAAGGCTTTGGATTTACCTATATAGATCCGAAAAAAATCGGATTGGTCCGAACGCGAATATAAAATCTTCGGATCGAGTGTGGATCAAATCAGATTAGCCCGATTGACACTCTAATTTTAAGTTGGAGTGATTTCTAGTATTTATTAGAGTTAGATATTTCGAACACAATAGCATAAATTTTAAAATAGTCTGACGGATAAAATAAAATTATACGCAAATTGAATCTAGATCAAAATATTATTAGATATAAACATTTATTTTAAATAAAAAAAATATTGATAGAATGTAAATAGAGTTCGAATTGAAAATAGAGAAATTATATGATATAATTTTTATAAAGCCGAAATATAATTATAAACAATGGAGTCAATGTTACAAGTGTCGCATCCAAGCCCAAGGGGGGATGTCAACAATTTCTGCATAGCTACAAAATACAAAAAAAGGATACAAAAAAGGCAATAACATTTACAACTTTAAAAAAGAATAGTCTAACAAAATTCCAATGTCATCGCTTATTATTGGAATATATATTTATAATTTTCCAAAAATTGACGTGGAATAGTCAATGAAACTGAATTTTCGACCATTCGTATGCTTTATATATAAGATGGCTACATCTCTAAAATGTCGTCGGTCCAATTTAGTCCCATCGGGTCTCTATATATTCAAAAAAAGTTTCCAAATTTGTTAAACTACAGAATTTGCACGAGTAGATGTCGGTCCAAAAATATAAATATATACTAATATTTATATAGAAAATGTTATTATACAATAATCCTCATGTAGAGGAAAAAAAAAAAGAAGAGGAAAGATACATTTGATAAAGAGCTTTGTACCGTACGACCGAACTCTTTCGAACTTCTCTTCGGTCGGAATCCGAACTATAAGCACTCGAACCAAGCAAATCCCGAATGCAAAATCCATATGAAGAGTCGGATCCTATAATATTAGACATTAGTTCTCTCTATAGTTATATATATATATATACATACATATATATAGATACATATTGAACAATATATAGCATGAAAAGGGTGTAGTATATATATATATGTATGTATGTATGTATGCATGTATGCATGTATCTCAAGGTTCAGGCTTCAAGAACATGGAAGGGACAATGTCTTGTAAGAGACCATAACCAGCAGCTTGTTGTTGAGATTGGCGATTGTTGTTATAGCCATGGTTCTGTCCGTACACGGAGCTTGCCGTTGCTCCGGCGTGGTACGGAAACTGAGGATGCGTAAGAAGATCTTGGTGGAGGGTCGGAAATCCGACGCCGTGGCCGAGGAAAGGAGGGGAGAAGATTCCGGAAGACGGGTTTCCTCTCAATGTCGTCGGGATCGGGTGATTGTGTTTTCCTTCGTACGTCGTGATCACGACCGACGGATCTTGGAACGATCTCTCCACCCGTTTCTTCACGTCGCATTTCTGCGTCGTGCATCTATAGTAACTCCTGCATCGCGTAAAAAAAAAAATTTTAAATACGAAAAATATTTTCTTTATTGTCAAGATTCGCGAAATAATGTGTCGTGTATTAATATCTAAACTCTACGCAAACTGATTAATCTCTTCATAATTTTCAAATTTTCAATAGTTATATATCATATACGTACGTAGAAAATCCTAGATTAAATCTATAATTACAAATTACAATAGTCACCTTATAATATATATGTATATATATATGAGTCAGTCTTTGCTCTGACTAATCATAGATTTGAAGTATGATCATGTTTGAACGTCCAAATATTTCAATAAGGAACTCGAATTAGTGACATCTAACAACATGCATGAAACACGCACAAATACTTCTACTTATATATATATATATGTGTGTGTATATATGTGTGTACATATATTTCTATGGAAGTGTATCATATATATATATATATATATGTATGTATATATTGTAAAAATGAGATGAGAACCTAGGATGAGGGCTGTTCTTGACGGCCTTTTGTCCGTACTTTCTCCATCGATATCCATCTTCAAGATGATCGATCTCGCTTTTAGTCATAAATGCTATCCGAGGCTCCCTCATCCTCTTCTCCCCTTTAGTTTTCGGTGCCTTTGCCCTACACACACACACATATATATATATATATATGTATATTCACATACATTTCAGTCATATAACTCGATAAACTAGCTAATATATGGACAATATATATATATACACACACATATAGAAAACATTTCATTCTACTAAGACTCACGGTTTCTTGGAGCTTCCACCGGCATCTTCTGCCTCCTTGTCCGTGTTCCGACACTTGGTCTCGTCGGGGTCAGCCTCGCTTGTGGAAGACGAGGCCGGAGAACTCGGACCGGCATTAAGGCTGCGGTCGGAATGGTCCATGGACGGGGAAATGGGTTCGAGTGAAGAGCCATAAGGTGAGATATTGATACTCTCTAACGGGTTATAATCCATTGAACTTTGCAAGAAACCGGTTAAACTCGCCATGCATAGAGATGGGTCGAAGGAGACATCTCCCAAGGAAGAGTTCTTATGGTAGTTTTCCTCAAAGAATGATGAAAGCTCTCTTTCATCCATCGAGGAGAGAGAGAGAGAGAGAGAGAGAGAGGTTTGGTTAGGTGTTGGGTTATTTTGTGGACTTTTGGGTTATCATGCCTTAAATACAATTCATTTGAAGTCTAATCTATCATACTGGTCCTTTTGATTATTAAAATAAGTTTACTTTTTTAAAAAACCCAATTTTATAAATATATATTTTTAATGATTTGTAATAAACAAATTTGATATGAACAAACAAAAAGATGGCCGTAAAAAGTTTTAAATTTGTATCTAAATTGAATTATAGTAACTATAAAAGCCTTTTGTGAACTTTAACAATCAATACAAATCACCAACTTAATTATTGAACCAACATTTATTCAGATGTTGAATATGGCTAATTGGTCAATAATCCATTGGATCTCATATGCATAGATAGCTCTTACACACACACACACCCACACACATATATATACATATAGACATATATTAGAAACTTTTATTCACATTCCGTCTAAAATATATTAAAATTATTTAATTAAAATCATATTAATCGGCAACCAATCTTAGCCCAAAAACCCTAATATTGCACAACATTTATGAACGAATATATTATGACAGCCAAATAATAATATGATAAGAATGCCCGAATCTACAAGGAGAGGACGAAGAAGTGGCATGATCGCCGTGTATTGCAGAGAGTATTCACAGACGGTGACCAAGTGCTCCTCTTCAACTTTCGATTTAAGTTTTTCCCGGTGATCACACGGGTTTTCCACAGGTTTTCTAACGTCAGGCATTACAATTCTTCTCACATCTTAGGCATATTAGGACGTTAGTTGGCCATGTGTAGGAATTTTTCTCTCCTTTTCCTTGCAGGACAATCAGATGAGGATATTCGCGTACGAGGTACGGAAGAGGAGCGGAATCGAGAAGTCCGGAGAAGATTAGACAAAATGAGCGGCCCGCCTGCTTTCACGAACGGTCGCCCGTCGTGACATTCCAGCAATCAGGCGGTCGCTCGAAGAAAAAGGCGGTCGCTCTGTGCTATTACGGAGAATGAGCGGTCGCTCATTATACTTGGCGGTCGTTCCGTGCTGCAAAGAAGAACGAGCGGTTGCCCTCAGGATGAGCGGTCGCTCGCCACGAAGAAAATGGGCGACCCTGAAGAGAAAATGAGCGACACCGAAGAAAAAGTGAGCGATCGTCCGAAATCAAAACTGGCCCAAAAAGGAAAAGCCCGATTTTTGAGGAGAAAACCTAATTTTGCACTTTCATTAAAAGGGGAGTTTGAGGAGAGAGAAAGGGGGCTCGACACTTTTGGAGAAAATCACCTTGGAGAAGAGGCAAGAGAGATTTGGAGACCTAGGGAGACATCTTGAAGGTGGAGATCACTATTGAAAACCATCTTGAGCATTTCTTCTCCTTTTCTATGCTTCCCCCTTTTGTTTTCTGTTTTGGACCTCTAGATATGGAGTAGTGACTTTGTTGTGGGTGAGGGATCTCCACTTTTGTATGGACACCTATGCTTAATATATGATGTCTTTGAGTTATCTTCCATGGGTTTGATGTTTTGTGCTGAATGCTATTGATTTGGATGAAACCCTAATTGATATGATTGTAGAACACATTGATCATAGGGATATGAGAATGATGTTTGGAACCAAATATCAAATGAGTGAGTTATTCACATTGGGAGAAGGCTTAGCTTGGTTAGGGTTCATGATAGGGTACACTAATGCATCTAGAGATCATTTAGATCATTGGGAGATGGGTGAATCGATTCTCTAGTTAGTGAGTTTAAGCTCGGGAGAGACAAACTCTAGAAGAAGTGCTTGAAACCCCCACTTGGAAGATAACCCATAGACATTGTAGCATCACTAACCGTCCATGCGATTCTTGAGGGATCCCGAACCTACAACGCCTTGAATCATCGTTTGCAACCCATTAATTTAATTTGCTTATTCGTATTCCAACACTTTTCACAATCCACATTTTCATTCGACCACATTTTCATTATACTAGGCGGTCGCTCCGTGCCGGGGACTAGGCGTTTTCGTGTTAGCCTAAATTTTTGCTAGATCACCATTGCTTGGGTTCTTGCTTGGATTACTTTGTGACATAACCTTTTCACAGCACTTTCGGTTCGTTTTGTTTCTTTGTTGTGCAGCTCTTCCGGTGCATGATAAGAAGTACAACAGGTAGAGATCAACTCGTCTTCGACCCCAAAATAGAAAGGACTCTACATTTCGCTCGGAGACAGCAAAGGCAGTGGGGAATGGCCAAAGAAATGCTGAGAGAAAACAACGCACGTAGAGAACAACCCGAAATGGCCGAAGAGTTGTTGAGAGGGGCTAATGCCCAAAGAGGTCTAGCCCAAACAGCCCCTAGGACGCTTCGAACGTACACAGAACCGAAACACACCCAGTTACTATCATGCATAAATCGGGGACCGTTAGAAGATTTCGAACTCCTACCGCAATGCATTCAAATGCTCAACAACATGAGTTTCCGTGGGAGACCCAATGAGGACCGAATGCTCACCTTACAAATTTCAAGATGAACTGTAAGGCAATCAAGAAGGGACCGAGGATAACTTTAGAAGACGTGTTCCTTGAAACTTTCCCCTACTCACTTACGGAGAGAGCTAGAGGTTGGCTCTACACTCTTGAGACAAATTCTATCTCGACATGGGATGAAATAGAAAAACAATTCCTTATGCAATACTACTCCCTACCAAGACTCAACACGCGAGAAATCGGATCAATGCCTTTGTGCAAGAGGATGGGGAGAATCTCGACGATGCATGGGAACGCTTCAAGGAATATCAAAGAATGTGCCCCCACCATGGAATGGAAAGAGACTACCTCTTATCTATCTTTATCCATGGGTTGAAGGATGATACTCGGTCTTGGATTGATGCAGCATGTGGAGGTGATATTTATGACATCCCTTTCCAAGAGTTAGAAGTGACAATTGCAAAACTGGCCAAAGGACGCAGCCATACGTCCAACGAGTTCAGTAGGAGAAGCTCAGTGAAAGGTGATGTGGGAGAGAACACAACTCTTAAGGCGGTGTTGGCCGACCTTGCTGAGATAAAGGTCCAACTCGCCAATGCCAAACAAGTAGCTGCTGTGGAAGATCACAATTTAGTGCAAGTTCAACCGGGTATGTACATGGTTGATCAAGAAGCGGAAGAAGCCAACTATGTCGGTCCGAACCAATACACTCATCCGTCCAACCTATACAACACGGGATTGAGGAATCATCCCAATTTCTCCTACAAGAACACGTCGAATGCACTAAATCCTCAACCCGCTTTCCAACGGAACAACCAAGGGCCTCCGGATTTCCAACCGAAGTATCAACAACAAGGTCAAGGGAGTCAAGGTTATCAAGGGAATTGCAACTATAGACCACAACAAGTGCAACCCAAGGAGCAAGACCCGGACATCAAGGATATGCTATTTCAAATTATCCAAGGTACAAAATCACAAGGAGTATCCATTGGGAGCATTGAAAATGAGCAAGTTGCATTCAAGAAACAATTGGAAGGAGTACAAGCTCACTTGAAGATCTTGGAAAATCAAGTGGCACAACTCGCATCTTCCTCCTCATCAAGACAGCAAGGCATGCTTCCCGATAAGAACGAGATGAACCCTCGGGAACACATCAATGCAGTGGAGCTAAGGAGCGGGAAACAACTTCTGGAGATTACTCATCGGATGGTTGAGAAGGCATCACCTCCAAGGGTAACAAGAGAGGAAAAAGGAAAATCTATAGAGGAAGACACTCCTAAGGTGCAAGAACAGGAGAAAGAACCGGTCTACATTCCTCCTCCGCCTAAGGTACCTCCGATACCCTTTCCTTCTCGTTTAAAGAAATTTAATGAGGACATCCAATTTGGAAAGTTTGCGGAAATGCTGAAGAAGATGAAGATTACAATGCCTTTCCATGAGGCAATTCTTCAAATGCCCTCATATGCGAAGTTGAAAAGGAGACCGTAGCATTGAGCACCGAGATTAGTGCAACCATCATGAAGCATGAACTACCCCCGAAGATGTCTGATCTGGGGAGTTTCTCTATTCCATGCAAGTTGGGGAATATTGAGGTTGATAGAGCATTATGTGATCTTGGGGCTAGTGTGAGTTTGATGCCACTGTCCATATACAAGAAGTTGAACATAGACGACTTGAAACCCACGAGGATGGCCTTACAACTAGCGGACCGATCTATCAAGCATCCAGCAGAGATTCTAGAAGACGTGCCCCTTAAGATTGGCGGATTCTATGTATCGGTGGATTTTGTGGTCCTATATATGGATGAGGATTCCAAAGTTCCGATCATTTTGGGCCGACCATTTTTTAGCACAACGGATGCCGTAGTTCATGTCCGAGCTGGTAGATTAACAATGAAGATCGGAGACGAAACAGTTGAATTCACACTTGATCAGAATTTGAAGCAACCCTCGACAAATGATACGGTATGTTACGCGGATATACTTGAAGCAATGGCGGAAGAAGTGATCGAAGAATTCCGCGAAGTAGGCCCGCTAGAAGTATCCCTAATGGGCGTAGAAGCAAGTTTATATAGTAATTGGGAAGAGATCGAGGAGATAAGACAGGCGCTAGATGGTCGGGAAACCGAAAATGAAGTTTCTGCAGTATTTCAGGCGGCCCACTCAGATTTCCGGACGGTCCGCCCCGAATCGCTGGAATCTGAATCTGTAAACAAGAAAACGAGCGACCGCCCGCAAGAATGGGCAACCCGCTCGATTTTGCTGAGCAAAATCGACTCATCTTCGGAGGAAACGAGCTACCGCCTCAAGATTCAGGCGACCCACTCGAAAGTTCTGAGCAATTTCAACCAACCCTCAATGAAAACGAGCGACTGCCTGTAAGAGTGGGCGACCCGCCTGAAAAGTCTGAGAAATTTGGAATCAGAATCCGACGAAATGAGCGACCGCTCGACGATACAGGCGGCCCGCCTGTTTTCACCTGGAATGAAAAGTCTGCACCCCAGAGCCATCTTCTCGACTACCCACGCCATCCTTGACACGCCTAA